CGTAAAGTATATGTAAATGACGATTTTGGCCTTGGTGGGTATTTGTCATTTTGGGATGTTGTTTAATTGTTTTTAGGGGTTGATTCTACAGGACCACACACCTACACCCACATCATCTTCTCCCGTGTTCTCTCTCTATCGCAGACTTTCTCTCTCCTTCTTACTTGTACGGACGAGACTCAAAACCTGTTGCAAACGTGACGAATCGAAGTGGAAAATGGTACCTTTGTGTTCATGAGAATCATACAGGTTTAACCATACCAATTTCAGGTAAGGAATCATTTGATTTCACATCGAACCAGGAACCTCCGATTTTGTCACTGTTCATGCACACGTGAAATTTTTTTTTCCAGGGAATTTGAAGCTTATAGGAAGTTTAGTGAGGTCTTTAGGAAGCTCGGGATGGTTCGTTGAATGGAATTGGACGTCGAGAAAGCTAGTTTTGAAGTTAGCCAATTTCTCTCGAATTTCTCCGAGGATATCCTGTGATCTTTGAGGTTTCAAACAGGTATAACGTTGTTCTACTCATCTCCAACTTTCCATTGGTGCAAATTTCAAAGAAATTGGTGAAGAAACGAGTGAGAACAAATGGTTTAAAGTTTTTCCAGGTTTCTGGCGACCGGCGACTCGTCTGAGAAGAAGTCGGAATATTTTGTCAGTTTGGACGGAATATTCTGACGCCGTCAGTCAGATTTAACGGAATACATTAGGGTTTAACGGAATAGTCCTAACGGCGTTAACTGACATCGTCAGTGTGACTGGCACGTGTCTGCACCTGGGGGGCGCGTAAGTCCGTCCACTCGCCCTCTCAGAAAATTATTTTAAAAATATGGAGATGTTCGTGAGGTTGAGTACATCACGTTGGTATATCCAAACACCTCACTTGAGCATTGTATGAGAAGTTATTACCTAGTTTTGATTCTGTGCTTTAATTGACGTTTTTATAATTGTTTCACATATAGGTGAGACTTATCCCGAGAATGAGCGCAGTCACACAAGGTTCGGGGGTTACGACCCTTCCACATACTAGCGAGTGGGCTTTTGGTTTTCCCTATATACCTATATACTTGAGAATTTTCCCAGGAAATGAAATTGAACGTTTATATGTTTTAAATGTCATGCATAGTCTTTGCCTATTTTAATTATGCATTAGTAGTTGCATATATTTATGATTGATATTGCGGACGCACAGGTAAATGTCAGGTAAGATTACAGATTATGGTTGTGAATTAGTAGTTATGTGAGATGCATAGAGAGCTCATAACCTGCACCTCTGGTCTTACTGCTCCCGCCTAGAGTAGGGCACAATCCTTCACGTGATATTCACCTCTCGCACCACACTCTCATCTTGGATTCAAGTTAGGTGCACAGTCCTATCGTACAAACCACTTTAGGTGGTTCCGACTCGTAGGTGACCCGCGATTATTCGCACAGGTCTTCACGTGATCGTAACACTTGAGCGTATTTATTTACACTCAGTCCTGTCGTATAGACCACTTTAGGTGATTCTGACTCGTGTGCATGTGTAGTGATTGAGTTGTAGATTTGAGCTCTAGATTCAACCGTATAGGTCACGTTAGGTGACTCCAGCTGACATATTTTCTGCATTGATTGACATTACCTGGATTACTTACATTATATGTTGAGTTAGTTGACATGACTTACATACATACATATTTGTGAATGTTGCTACTCTGAGTATAGTTGTGATATATTTATATATTCTATTTTTTTGGAAAATTATACAGGTTTTACGGAGAGGGGTTAGAACTTTTGAGAATGAAGTGATTTTGAAAAACTTTATTTTTGCCCACTCACAATTTCTGTTTTGCGCCCCTTCAGGTTCTAGCTAGAAGCAGCTTTGGTGGTTCACGAGGACTTGACGATGGTTCTGATAGAACATCATAAATGTAGGATCACCTTTGGGCGTTGTGTAATTGGTATTCGTTCTTCTGGACTTCACTTAGGCTTTCTGTGGTCTGATACCAAACTCAACCAAAATCAAGGCGTGACGTCCAGCACGCATTGATTTCGGTTGGGATGTGTCAATGAGCCAAAGTTAGAGTTATTCTATTCGCATTGCACCACATATTTCCTAAAATTAATTTAGGACATTTCCAAAATTTCGGACACCTATAAATCTATTGGGGGGGCTCGCTATTAGTTATATTTTTTTTCTATTTTGTTTTTTAACTTAGGTACCCTATTAGTCGGCATAAACTTAGATTTCAGCTGATCTTTTACAATCTAAACTATCTATCATATAAGTATTTTAATAGTCTAAACTACATGCCATATAAGTAGTTATACAAGCTAAACTACCTATCATATTATAATATTAGTTGGCATAAACTTAGATTTCAACTGATCTTTTATAATCTAAACTACCTATTATATAAGTACTTTTATAGTCTGAACTACATGTCATATAAGTACTTGTACAAGCTAAACTACCTATCATATTGTAACTACCTATCATGGTGGAATAAGTAATTTAACATGTTATAACAGTAAGATGTTGTCCTTCATCTGGTAATGTTAAAAGCCCCTGAAACTAACACAATCAATGTCAAAAGCCTCTTGAGCAATTACTTACATAAGACAATCAATGTATAATACTCGCGAATCGTGTAGACTAGAATCATGTAACAAATATCAGCAAAAATAAAGCTTACTGTTGTAAACGACTCAATGAAAACATGTAAAATTACTTGTAGTTCTCGTAGCTTCATGCAAATTCAAATTCAAATTTGGATACTAATATGTAAGAATCACGAGGAAAATTCAAAATAGGAGTTGGATAGAGTTTTTGATGAAATGACAATATTTGATGAGTAACTTTTTTTTTTTTTTTAATACAACAATATATTTTACATTAAAAATATGAGATTTTTTTTTATAAAATGATAAGATTTAATGTGTAACTTAAAGTTCCATGTTAATTATGGAAGAGTCATGATAAAACATTCAACGACAATCGGTGCAATTTTGTTTTCAAATTATGGACACTTTAATTGCTCTATTTATTAGACCCTACCTATGATTGTGCAATACATTAGATCCATATCAAAACATGAGGATCAAGATCCTTTCCTACGCAAATGGTGAAGATCCTCCTGACCAAACTCATCGGGCCGTTGAAATTTTATCCAATGGCTACAAACAGGATACCCCTCTAAAAGTTATAATAATTGTAGCCGTTGGATAAAATTTTAATGGCCCAATGGGCTTAGTCAGGAGGATCCTCACTAGGGATGGGTAACTGCGGTTATCCGCCCATTTAAATTTGACGGTTACGGTTATGGGTAACCGTTTAGATAAATAAATCGTTATGGGTATAAGCGTTTACCGTGAAATTTAAATAGACGGTTATGGGTATTACCCGCAGTTATAAACAGGTACCCATGTAGCCGTTTATTTTAATATATGTAAAACTAAAAAAAAATATAATAATTTGTTTGTAACTAAGTTTAGTATCCCGAGATATATTTGGTTATAAAGGGCCATTATATATATATATATATTTATGCCTCACTTGAGAGAAAAATATAGTTGATAGAACAAATTAATATTTAAAATATGTAATTAAACGTGCTAAAACATTAGTGTTCACTAGTTTTATTTTGAAGTCTTTTAGAGTTTTGACAAATTCAAGATAATGATTACCTTGAGTATTTAGAAACATATTATTATTAGATGATGCGTAACTATATATATATTTAATTGACCTCGAGTTTTCAATAAATATTTGACCCCAAAATTAGAAATCAATTAAATGACTTGGATCAATGAACATATGTTTCTAAATAAAAATCCAAATATTTATCAAATTAGCCTATTAGCAGACTGATGCGTACTTACACACACACACACACACACACACACACACGTATATATGTATATATGTATACAAAAATATCAATTAACCTACAACTATGCATGATTCTTGTAATAGATTGACCGTCAAATAATTGGGAGACATCGCATATATTCATAAATAATATTGCCGTTAATATAAAAATACATGTTAAATGTACTTATAACGGTATTTAATAGTTAGAAAAAAGAAAATTATGACAAAATTCTTTTTAAATTTCAAGTTGTTAAAAAAATAGGTAGACAGGTAAAAAAAAAAAAAAAGTAAACGGGTACGCGGTTATGAGTATGTGTATACCCGTTTATGTAAATACTCAACGAGTAAACGGTTATGTGAGTAAAAGCTTAAGCAGTTATGGTAAATAACCGTGATTACCTGCCTGCCATAACCATTGCTCATCTCTAATCGGAATAGTGGGTTGGTGGTGTAAAGGAGTACATCGGCCGGCTTGGAAGTGGCAGGATTTTGATTTCGGTAGCCACCACGGTGGTGGCATTTGTCGACGCCAACAACTACACCGTTGTCCCCATTGTACTGGCTCTGGCATCAGAATGATAGGATTGGTCCATTCAAAGAGAAGAAGAGGGAAGAGAAAATACAAAGAGAGAGGAAATATACTTAAATTCATTAATAACCATATATATATGTATATATATATTTTTTTAGTATATCGATATTTTTACATTAAGGAGAGGAAGTTCGGCTAAGCCACAGAATAGACCTTAATTTGGTATCAAATTCATCATCCACAAAGATTCGAACTTAAGACCTCTCAATTCTAAGTAAAGAGGAATACCACTAGACTTATAGTACTGAGTGACAATTTCTTAATAACCAATTTTGACCCAAAAAAGAGAGAAGGATAACTGGTGGTAAGTCAGGGTTATACACTCATTTCGGGGCAGGAAAGATTCATAGAGAGATTTCAGCCTCAGAAAAAAAAAAAAAAAAAAAAAAAAAGATATTAGTACAGCTCGGAAAAGACTAACGAAATACATAAGAAATACGAAGGAAATACGGTAAGATATGGAGGACCACAGTTGGGCCTCAGCTTGGGCTTCGTAAAAGCGTTCTAATTGTAATTGGGTCTCATAGTCCCCAAATCAATTGATAGTTGAAACCCTAGAATCCCAAATTGGCCCCAAATTCCGTTAGTCTGATACATCTTACTGAGAATTGTTCTTCAACTCCATAACGAAGAGGTAGAGAGAGCTTGCGGGGATGAGAGGGATACGAAGATTGCTTGGACGAAGTCTTTCGTCTCACACAAGATGCCAACCTCCTCGGCATCGCAATGGCACCCAGTTCATCTCTCGCCGAACCTATTTCCTATCTGCTTATTCAGCTCCCACGACGTCGTACCTGGCTCACAACAACTCCCCCTTTTCCGATGCATCTCCTTTCAATTCTCTGAAATGGGGCCTTCTCGGCGGTTAGTTTCCTATATGTTACAATTTTCAATTGAAATTCCGATTTTTAATTCACTTTTTTTGTACCCTTTCCTCGAATCGCTTGGAAAATGAAGGAAATGAAACGATTATGGCTTTGTAATGTTTACTTTTATAATCTGCCATTTACCCATGATTACTCATAATTTTGTATCATTCATAATTTTTACCTTTTTTTTTCTTTTTTCGAACAATAGATTTTGTTAGATTAGATGTTAGAATAGCCATCAACGGGGTTTGAACCTACGCCGTCATGCAAGAGCTCAACTATTTTTCCATCGCTGTGGTAAAGGGCCACTTGCATAATTTTTACCCAATTAACATCAACAAAAAGTAGTTGTAGTTTCAGATTTATGTTTAGTGTTTAAATTACATTAAGTTGCTGTTTTTTCACAGGGCAGAAGAGAAGCATGTTTATCCAAACTCAATCCACACCCAACCCTGCATCTCTAATGTTTTATCCTGGGAAGCCCGTTATGGAAGTTGGCAGTGCAGACTTCCCGAATGCTCGTTCGGCCATGAATTCACCACTTGCCAAAGCCCTTTATGGAATTGATGGTAAGATTGTTGTCGCCATTACTTTACAAGTATGCATGGTCATCCTATTTCTTCGTCTTCATGAGAACGATTGCCTGCATGTTTGTGTATTTAAGATTAGTGCTTATGAAAATGTAACACTTGATTTTTGGTTTTGGATTGCCTTCAAGGATGGTAATCATTTTTTTGGTTATATCTATGACTCTGAGCCTTTAGTTTTCTACTTTTGTTGTGTAAGATTTATTTTTTCTCTGAATAGTGAATGAATATTATTGTGGTTTTAGCTTGTTTATGATTCATGAGAACATGTGGATAGGGAAAAAAAAAAGAAGCAGATTTCAGTGCAGGCTAGAAGCGTGAAATGGAGGTTATAGAAGTAACTCTCAAATGTGCCATAAAAATTCTTTCAAAATATGGTTTAATTGCTATGTGGGCAAACTTTGCACTTTGTTGTTAGCCACTCTAGTTACTATTTGACTTCTCCCCACCCCAATCCCCATGCACCCTTCCATTGGATTGAGTGTTAGTCGATTCTGTCTGAATCCTTTGAAATTAAAAGAGTCATCATTTTCACAATTTTTTCCAGTTGCTGCAGACTTTATTACTTACTAGTTTTCTTCCACTCATTGAACCTTGTTATTTCAGGTTTAATTTATCTTTTTCTTCTTCTTTTATTCTAAACATGTAATTGCTTAGTAATGTTTTGTTTGACGAAGTAATAAATCTAACCTGGGATCCTAATACAGGAGTCACTCGAGTGTTTTATGGATCAGATTTCGTTACTGTAACAAAATCTGAAGATACTTCTTGGGATCTATTGAAGCCTGAAATCTTTGCTGCAATCATGGATTTTTATTCTTCTGGGCAGCCACTCTTTCTAGACGAAAAAACTGCATCAGCAATGGACACAGCTATTCAAGAAGTATGTCATCAAATTTCTCTCTGTGAACTTTATAAGTTTTGGGGCCAACATGTTAACAGAGCGATTAGATCAATGTTTTACCTTTGCTTTGAAGATATTTTCATTTTTCTTTAGTAATTAAATAGCATTTTATTATAATTAGATTGTACTTTCATAGACTGGATATGCTAGTATTAAGTCACCCCAAGTGGAACTGTGGGAGTATACAATCTAGTGTAGGAAACTCCTAGGTGTTGGTCAAGGTGTAGGATTAGTCTTTTGTGAAGTCTTATTAGGATGAGTGTGCAATAGACATTGGGGAGCATCAAAGAGGAACCTTGTGTTGTGTATCTTTTGTTTGAGGCACGGTCACAAGTAACTAATGTCGTGGTTTCACTTTGTAACCATTATCAGTGTTTTGATAATCTTACTGTTAGAAGTTTGTGCAGCTTCATATTAAATCTCTATTATTTTACAGTATCTCTTGTATTAAATACTAAGAATGTAATCTCTGAAGTCTGAAGCAGGATTTACTACCTTAGCAAACCCACCAACACAGCTTGTAGCCAATCATTCCTCAATTGTTATTGATTCTGCTACACCGGTTGCCTATTTTAGTGCCATGGTACTGCCAAGTTTACAGATCCTAAAAGAATCTCAAATATTTCGAGGAGCAGGATAACTTATCTATTAGAAAAAGAAACCTTTAAAGAATGTGCAGCGCTTTAGAGTTAGAAGGAAACGGAAATTACTTTCAACTACAGTGACAAAACTTGCACTTATGCAGCATTTGATTCTTTTTGGTCTTGTCATGAAATCATGGTCTGAGTTCATCATTATGTCTGCCTTTCAAAATTGTGTTTGTGTGTGCGTGGTTGCTTCCTATTAACTACCAATGCTGCCTTACTAGCTCCACTAGGGGGTCTCCTCTTCTGGATTGTATTTTTGTATTTCTTCTTAAGTTTTTTTGTATGCTTGAAAGATGTGGGATTGCTTTGGCAAGCAATCATCCGTGCTTGAGTTTACAGATGATACTGTTTGGTTATTGTTATGGGCTATGATTACTAGGCTATAATGGACATGCAAGATGATTCATTAAACTCTGTACAGTGATGTGATATTCTGTTATTTACTGGGATGTGGCTCGGATGAACAGAGTCATCTGTCAGTATGAAAGAGCAGAAATGAGAAGGAATTTTGGTTATGTTATTAATTTCTTTTGTGCATAAATCTGAGATATAACTATTTCGGTGGTTGCTTTGCAGGATGATTCAGAAATCGTTGCAATGATAAAAGAATTGTTGGAGACTCGCATTCGACCAGCAGTGCAAGATGATGGTGGGGACATTGAGTATAGGGGATTTGATCCGTAAGTTGTTCTCCTTCATTTGATATACTGTTTTTAATTTTAATATTGGAAAATGCCTGAATTCTTTTCATTTTCGTTGTCGTTTTTATTTCTGGGCGCGTGGCTTCTCTCTCTTTTTTTTGGTGTTTTTTTTAACTTTTCGTAAACTGTGTTTAGAGAAACTGGAACAGTGAAATTGAGAATGCAAGGAGCGTGTAGTGGCTGCCCAAGCTCATCAGTCACCCTGAAATCTGGAATTGAGAATATGCTCATGCACTATGTACCTGAGGTAACAAATGCCAACCATTTTCTTGCATTTTCAAGAATGTATGTATTTCTTTGTCTTCGAATCTGTCTGTACATGATTAATCACCCATTAGAGGGAATGTAGACCCTAAAATAATTAAACAGACAAGTCTTCCAAAACACAAAATTTCTCCTCTCCCATCCCTGTTATCTTTGAAATTCTGTTGTTATCTTTGAAGATGAATCTTGTTGAAAATACTGCCAATCCTGCAATTAATTAGTCAGGTTGTTTCCAGTACCACTTTATATCGTATTAAACAGTTTCATGGCGTTATTTTGATTCATTTATAGTTAGGTTTTATTGTTCAAGAAACTTTTTCTTTTGGTGCCCGTCTTAAGATAACCTCCTTCAGTCCTCAAAGCTTCACTTATGCCTCGTGCCTTTACTAGATTACCAATTTCTTTGATTTTATTTACAATGGCATTTCTCCTTCAGTACATGTTGAGACCTCTATATCAGTATAACTGCAGCTTTTAGAATATAAGATGATAAGGATGGACTTTTTGTACTTTTTTACACTTCTTAACGAGCACAAGAACTATAAGAAAACCGAGTGACAAGTTCTTCCAAAATCTTTCTAAAATTTGTATTGTTTATTAGAGGAGTGAAACCATGAGTGATTCTCTCTCTGATACTCTTCCTGAATAGATGCTGACAAAATATGACCATTTTATTTGTGTTTATCTGACATAGATGTCTGCATTTGTAGGTCAAAAGTGTAGAGGAAGAGCTAGATCCTGATGACGAAAATGCAGCTCTAACAGGTCAGATGGAGTAGGAGTTTAAAATTTTGTGCTCGAGCGGTAAATGGTGAGCTAAAGCAGGGACTTCGGGTGCACTTTCCTCTGTACATAAGCAAATAAATAAGCTGTTATACTCAATTTATTGATTGTTTGCCTCTTATGGAATCATCAATGTAGTAAAATGCATATTAAAATAAATTTTGAGCTTTGTAAGAACATTGTATAACGGGAACAATGATTCGTCCACTGTTACCGGTTAAATTTTCCTGCTCTTTAGAAGGCTACTAACATTCAGATTGTCTGTATATCTGCCACTAATCAGTCATGTTTCCGACAGCGTTTCAGTGTACCATACTGATTTGCTTTTATGCAAATAAACCATCTTATGCTCTTCTGTAGTAAAATAAAGGCATTCCTATTGATCATGTGTCGAATATTACAATTTGTATTGGATGTTTACAGTGCGATCCATTCCTTTACTGATACAGGGAGCTGTTATTGCGTTCGGAGATAATTTGCGTTGCCTACTCGATGCTATCATTCTGGTCCCTACTTGAGCGATCGTTCCGGTCCCTACTTGAGATTCTATCGTCGTTTCCTAATGTGCCGAGGTTGGGGTTCGGTGATGGAGCGAAGAAGGGGTGCTGGCAGTGGTTTGATCACGGCTGAGGGCTGGGGCAGTGCGGGAGTTTAGGGTACCTTTACAACTTTTAAACAGAAAATTAAGACGGAATATGATGGGTGCGGCAAATTTCTCTTTTTTTGTTTCTCTATGCATGAATGTTCCATCATTCCCGCATCTGTTCTTGTTAATCCACACACCAAAACACACGAGCCTCGCACGTCCTGTACCGTGCCTTGGCCTCGAGTGTGTCTTGTTATACGAATTACCACCCATGACACATTCGTTCACGTGCCATCGTTATCATAATTTTCATTCCAATCCATACGATACAACCCCATGTAACTCACACGACTCATGCCTCTCATAATTGCAATGCATGATATGAATTCCATCTTGTATACGTATAACATCCAACCACATTTATCAATGAACGAGTTATTAACGCAAAAGTTCACCACCGTGGTCAAAGCAAATCACTAAATCAACACCAACAGATTCAAATAGTCATATGGTTGGTGTAAAATGCCAAGTCATCATAAAAGAAACGTACGTTTGACTATGTTTGGAAAAAACAAGAGAAGATGCAGTCAAATAAAATCCATGGGGATAAGCTCGTTACAAACTTCAGCGTATAGATTGTATATGAAAAATCTCGATTGAATACGTTACAGATGTACATGAAAAATCTCGATTGAATCCACACATGCATCCAACTGTCTTTTCATGATTGATCCACGAAAAGGGATCCTCTTCAAATTCCTTCCACCAAATCCAAGGGAGGGATCCACCAATCCGAACCCTTGAAATTTGATCCAATGGCTAAAAATAGGGGTCTACTTTAAAATGATCAAATTTCAAGAGTCTGGATTGGTGGATCCCTAGGATTTGGTGGAATAGATTCTGAGAGGATCCATTTCCTTGATCCACATAGACACTCAATTAACTCTCTCATGTATATCATAAAATAATAGGGCTAGTAGGCTAGCAGAAATCACAACATTCCTTATTCCAGATGCACTTATGGAATCAAATAACGGAAGGGGTGTGATATCCACACACCCCATTTTACTTCTCACACATTTTTTTTTTTATTTTCGACCGTCGGATAGGATGAATTGAAGAAGATCAACAGACATAAATTATCAAAGGGATGTGTACGAAATAAAATGAGGTGTGTGGATAGCACACCCCATAACGAAAATACATAGACATTGGATTTCATACTTTCTCGTGGCAGTCTGATAACATAAATATATAGATATTGCATTCCAGAAGGCAACCCGAGCATAGTTTTTTGTCCTAGACTTTCTCATGGCAACTAAAAGAATTCTAGGCCTAGACTTTCTCATGGCATACCTAGAATGAATGTATTCGCATGAGTCTCAAATCAACTCATGAAACCAGAAAGAAAGATATAAATCTAGGGTTCCAAACCTACACATGGAGCCAGAATAAAAAGTATACAACGATAAGAGTTATCTGCTAGGCCTCTCAGTTTGCAATCATTTCAAACATACATATATATCATTTTACAAAGCAGATTGATGACTAGGTAATAACATATTTGTAAACCCATGCTATACACACAAAGTATACAACAAAGAAACCTTTTCATATGCAAAATAGTTTATCACATAATATTATAGTCCATTCACCTCAAGTCTTGTGCACTTCTAGAATAACCATAACAAAAGCGTCATGCAAACTAATGTGCACGCAAAATCATGTGCATGTCATTGAGACATCTCATATACTAGATGAGCCAACAAGACTCCGGTAGAACGTAATATTGTACACGACACTCCACTTAGGAATCTTTTCAAAATTGACACGCAAAACGAGTCATAGTGCTCGAGACGCACGTTAATTGGGGACTATACATCATCGTGATGAGGTAACTAAGCTCCATCAAGCCTCTACAACACACTAAAAAAGTCAATCGTCGCTCAGAGTAGGACCTGTTAGAGTCAACAATCTAAGATTCCCAAAATCCAGAACATCAGGTTTCTAATCCACAAGTTCTCAAATGTTTGAATATTAATAAATAGCAGGATCACAAAATTGTACAACAATCTAACGGTCGGATTGTCGTTAATTTTGAAAATCGTACAATTGTACAATTATCCCAAAAATCAAATAATCGTACTTTGTCCAAAAATGGATGGAAGACGTCCAATTTTACCAATAAAAGTCGCAGGTGCAATAAATTTCATGGTGTTGAGTTGCTACCTACAATGGTCTAATAAGGCCTAGGTTGGTTTGGTTTTACTCTAGGGATGTTGGGCTACAAGACCCAGATCCAAGAGGTGGTGTCGGTCGTTGCTTTGTAGATTTGCCGATCAATGGATAAAAGCCACAGGAACGATTAGAAATGCTAGAACTTCACGTCCTAGCACCGCCGTGTGTGGTGGTTCTTGGGTGGGGCTTGTAGGGGGAGTGAGAGCTTCAATTTGGTAGTAGTGGCGTCAACCAATTATGTTGAATATGGCTGGAATTTGAGTCAAAAAATCGCAATGGGAACGGGTCATGGCTCCCGCCACAGGTCGGTGGCTCTGGGTGATTTTTCTGAAATTATAAAGTTTTTTATGGCAAGTTTTCAAAAACAAAAAGTTACTACTTGTAGTAAGTCCAAAATATCAAAACGTTTGTCACTTTCGATGCTAGTAACTTCTTCGTCTGTCACACCCAATGCTTGTAACTTCTTCGCCTAATGCTTGTAAGATCAGGATCGGGCTCTTTCCACCCATTCTAAACTCACCTCCAAACACCAAAGTGAAATTTAAAATGACCAAATCGCTATTCAAATCGTTTTTTCCAAAATTGTAAAATAAATAAATAATAAATTTTGAGATGGGATATTGCAATTGTGACACTGCTTTTCCTGCTCATAACAATGTTAAAAATTACAAATTTACAACATATTATTCTCAAGGTACATTAAAAGCTATTTATATAAAAAGGAAGATCAAATTGCCTAAACGAGTGCCAATAACCTTTTTTCATACATCAATATATTTATAATAAAAAATGTGAAATAAATTAATATTCAACACGTCAATTCATAACATTTGAAAATAAAACTCGTCATATTTGTATTTTCAGCTATCATTTTTGACCCAAAATAACCACTACATCTAAATCAAATAGTATTTTCATATGTGCTATTTACACATCTATTTTTATTTATTATACACTTTTGTTAATTTTTACTATTAATCTTCTTCAATTTATTTAATAAGACGATCGAAAATTAAGAAAAAAGAATTAAAATGAGTGTACGGATTTCATATGATGGTAAGTGAGTTCAACGGCCGCAAAACCCTAGTGGTTTAAATAGCAGCACACTCCGTGGCTGTCTCTCTCCTCATGTCTGTCTAAACCCTAGTAAGTCGTCAACACTCTCTCTCCCCATTCCCATCCGCATATCATATGCCTTTTCCCCTCGAGGGTTTTGGATTGATTCGCATCAATTTCTGATCGTCGAATTTTGATCCGAATTGGTGCTCCGATTGTCAGCTATGGATCTTCCCAGCCTCGCTGTAATACTACAGGCTGCTCTCAGTACCAATCCCGATGAGCGGAAAGCCGCCGAGCAGAGCCTCAATCAGGTACATACATCATTTGGTTGGCTTAAATTCCCACTTGTACTGAAGCTGTTCGCCATTTTTCGATTAATTGGGTGTAATTTTGATGCAAAGTTGGGATTTTTGTGATGAGAATTGAGCTTGATTGTGCAATTCGATACCTTCACTTGCTTTTGAGTACTGAGGTGAAGTGGTCCTGAGAAATTATTAGAGAGAACGATTTACTTCGGATTTATATTTGGTTTTGAGCTGTATATTGACTTTTTGATTGGGAAGAAAACAAAATCCCACACGTAATCAATGCATCTGTCCATACAAACAGAGCTTAGTTGCTGAGAAACCATTTCTTCTTTTTTCCGTTTTATAAGATTACGAGTTGGAGAAAGACACTTCAATTCCACTAATTAGATAAACACCTTTTTTACTTTGCAATGGGAGAAGGGCTCCAAAGTAATTTTGCAACTGAAGCGGATAGTTAAGGATTTTTTTTATTATTTTTTTAAATTTACTGCTGTATCTTCGTCGACGGAGTTGTTAATATTGGGGTTTTGTGTATTGCAGTTTCAGTGTACACCACAGCATTTGGTGAGAATGTTGCAAATTATAGTGGACAGCAATTGTGACATGGCTGTGCGGCAAGTTGGCAGCATCCATTTCAAGAATTTCATTGCAAAGAACTGGTCACCTCTTGATCCTGGTATGCAATGATTGTGTGGAATTTAGCTAGTATTGAATGCCCACTGGTGATTCGATCCAGTTGGCTGTTGCTTATTCTTTGCGTGTTGATGTAGATGTGCAGCAGAAGATATCACAGAGTGATAAAGACGTGGTGAGGGATCACATTCTAGTCTTTGTCACACAGGTTCCCCCATTATTAAGGTACTTGCTATTTTGTTCACTGTTTTCAGTTACTTAAGTTGAGATGTGTGCATAGCTAGGTCGATGAAACCACTATGTCTGCGAGTGCACAGACATAAAATTTCTCAGTAGTTTTAATTTGTTAGCTCCTTTGTAATATTATGTGCTGTAGAATAATATTTGGCTTTATCTTCTTATTTGCTGGCAATGTCAAGTCTCAAAGTCATTTTGTACAGGGTACAGCTAGGTGAGTGCCTGAAGACAATTATTCATGCTGATTACCCCGAGCAGTGGCCACGCCTTTTAGACTGGGTGAAGCATAACTTACAAGATCAACAAGTCTATGGAGCTTTGTTTGTTTTGCGGATTCTGTCTAGAAAATATGAGTATGCTAAGTTATTTCTGCTATTATTTTGAAATAATTCCTAGTTTAATGGCTATTATGTACAGCTGCATTGCCTTCTGAAAAAAAGCTACAAGCTTAGTTAGTTTTGCTATGTGATGCATGCTAATGGTTTTGAACTTGTAGTTTGTTTGTGACATATATAATTGACTCACTTTGTTCTCCTATATTGTGTGCTTCGTATCTACTGTTCATTAGAAAAAATATAGGATTCAAATTTTCCCAAATTTATTTAGTTACATGATGACTATTTCATAAGTTCCTTGTTGTTCTTGTAACCATGTTTGTGGGTGTGTGGTCTATGCACGTATCTTGATGTGCAAAGTGATGCATGGACATTGTGAAATTGTCACTGCTGTGATCAAAGTTTGGAGTTGATTCAGTCCACCCAAACTTTAAAAATATAGGATTAGGGGAGCATGTTGGTTAGGGTTTATGAATA